AATTAATGGAGGGAGGCTGCGAAGATATCTGTTAGCGTAGGGGGAAAATCAGATGACAACATAAATGAATTTGTAGCAAAGCTTAACTGAAGCATTGCAGAAATTCAGCGTATCGACGTTTTACCTTCATCAGATTGTTTACATATAACTCTGCAAAAGAATGTATAACAACAACAACAACAACAATAAAGCCTTTTCCCACTAAGTGGGGTCAGCTATATGAATCCTAGAACGCCATTGCACTCAGTTCTGTGTCATGTCCTCTATTAGATCCAAGTACTCTAAGTCTTTTCTTAGAGTCTCTTTATTCTGCAAAAGAATGTATGTGTGAAAACTTATACACCTGCATGCCTTTCTATAATATTTGTATAAAAGCCAAAGTTATGGAAGATGATGGAAGCAACCTAACACAAACCTTCAAAATCCCGACTGGTGCCAGTTACTCTGGAAGTTTACAATCTTTTGCATCTTTACATACTTCTCCCTGTATAGGAAAACAGATAACGAGACGTGTGTTAGCACCAAATGGTTCAAATATTTCAAATTCTTAAGCGTTTCTGTGAAAGTTGATAGCTGCCGTTAGCAGACTGTTTCATGTCTAACATAAGCTTATGGTTCCATTCCCATTCGGATTCAATTAAAGGTGTGGAACGGTAATAGAACTGAAATCCATGCAAATGAACGGTGCTTACCTTGTTCTTCTTTCGCAACTCCAAAACCTCTTCTAGGGGTGGCCGGCCTAATGCAAAAACAGGATACTGACATCATCTAACAGAAGTTTATATTAATCATAAGATATCTGGGCAGCAGAGTTAACAAATTAGCATACCTGTGATTTGAAGACGATATTTAGCCCAAACGCCATATACAGCACCAGCTATTGTTGCAATCTGTGAATAAATTGTTTTCCCATTAGACCCCCAGATAAAGATAACATACTATTGTAGATCATTTAGTTCTACATGGCGGAAAAGTAGATGAATCAAAAAAGGAGACTCACAGGTTCGTATTTGGTTATGGCATATACCCATCCGAGCCCCACTTGCTCGTAGAGCTTTCTGAATGCCTGCAGAAGTCTTCATCAGCTTTATCCATCTCCTGGACAACTCAAGGGAAAACTGTATTCAAAATAGGGAGCTCAAATGTGGCACGAAAAGGGGCTTACTTCGACATCAGTGACCACAGTTCCATCAGAGAGGATGGCATGAATGTTTCCCATAACCTAAACAAAACAACACAAGAAATTGTTACTAAGTTCTGATATATTTGTCCAAAACATATCATATCATCTTTCTATGTTTCAAGCCAGGAAGTTTTTCACATAAACTTCACGAAGTCCTAAATCTTATTCTACAAGGTCAAACTGGATATAAAAAAGAAGAAATACTGCCAATGATATAATTTGGTTTCGTAAATCTTAGCATCAAATTTCAATAACGCAAACTTACAGTCTTGTAGTCCAGCCCTTGATTCTTCTCTGGCGAGTAGTCATCTGAACTTATGTCAACAAACTTGATGGTACCATATTGCTTATTTCTCTCTCTCAGCATGTCCACCTGCCAATATAACGCAAACTTCAGCACACTCAAAACCATCAAGAACAAAAGGACTTCGTAGCTTCATCAGTACGAAACTCATCAAACAAACGCTAATTACGTTATAAACAAAAAAGTAACAACAGGGATATATAGACGGGTGTTTGAAGGTAAGGATCGACCTCTCGCATGCACAAGGGGCAATCCCCGTCATAGAGCATTTTAATCTTCCAATTCTGAGGTGTTTGTTCTCGATCATTTTCTTTCTTTGGAGTCAAAGGATCTGCAGCTGCCCCACTTATAGCCCTTACGGAAGACTTAAACCCTACAAATACATTCATACATAGACACATATATGCATCATAAACTGAACTATTTGCAAACCATAAAAATTTCTTCTTGATTCCTTGGTCTCATATAAAACCAAACCAACAGAAATAGACTAAACCTAATAACCCCGGACATCGTTCGGCTACATCCTACCAATCACACGTTGACACATGTGCATAGATAACCCAATAAATTACACATAACGAAAAATTTATACGCACATATCAAACTATGATCGCCAGGAAAACAAGAATTAAATAGGAATGGCATTGCGAAACAAAAATTTCTACTAAACAGACAATAAAGGAGCTCCAAACCGTGTGCGGCTTATTGTCCGTTTAGTGTCTGTGAGATGGGTAAATAGGATAAATCGGTCACAACTCACCAGGTTGGTTAATAGGAGGGGCTGATATGAATCTTTGGGGTTGAATTTGATGGAGCTTGAGTTGTTGGAGAGAGAGAGGAACTGAAGAGAGAGAAGGGTTTCTTTGCCTTCCTCCAATTTTACATGCTGAAGCAGCTGCCCTCATTGCCATTTCTTCTTCTTCTTTCTGTACTCAAATTCAAAGCTTTTGGGATCGAAGTTTAGGAACCAAAAGATTCAGAGTTCGTTTGCTTGGACTGCCCTGGTTCATAACTACCATGTATACGTGGCAGCCTGTCCGCCACTCATAAGCTTGACACGTGGCAGAAGGGAAAGTAGCCTCAAACCGGCTGTTCCAAACAGTGAGTTCCATTGCTCTCAAACAAGCAAACAAAAAACAGCAAGTTAGATTTGAGGGTACTAAAATAAATATGGCAAAAGTATTGGGGTAGACTAGCAAAATAAAAAGCACAAAAATCGCGCTGATAGCAAAAGCCCCAGTCTTTGCAGTTATATTTGATAGCTGCTGTTTTCAAGCTCCGGTTATTGACTATGGCGTTCCTGCTCCGCAAATTCCGTCGCTTCCCATTTCCAGTCCCACTCACAGGTACTCTCTCTATCGCGTATGTTTGATCTGTAACGCCGTCGTTTTGATTTGGTTCAGTATTCCTCTCTCCCTAAATCTAACTATTTCGGTTCAACAATCAGAGGGGGCAGAACGATTTGCTTTCCCAATCGCGCCGCCAGTTCCACGTCGAGCCAGGGCCCCGCGAGAAAGCTGTGAGTCTATCTCTTTCTCTCTCTAAATTTATTCAGCTATACAGGATTGTTCGGATTTTGATTCGTTTGGGGCAGCTTTTTATTTCATATTGTATCTGAGATTCGGCCATGAAACTTCGAGTTTAGCATTTTTGATAGTTGGGTAGCAAACCCATTTGAGCATACAGCTTAAAGATTTTAGCTTTAGATTTATTTGTGCAAATTTTGTTTATTTATTTGATTTTGATGTTTGTTAGCAGCAGGGTGAATGTGTTTATTTGATTTCACCGGTTCAATTGTGCATTTGGGCTGGACTGAGTTGTTTAAATTTGCAGCTCTTGGCACCGGACCCGTCTTTAAAACGGTTCAAGTCGCATAAGAAGGGCGTGGCTCTAGTTAAAAGACTTGGAGATGTTCTTACCATTGTTATCGTTGCCGGTACGCAATTATTTTGCTTGAGATTTAATCAGATGGTGTATTAGTTGCTATGCACAAGCTTAATTTACCTTGATACTTTTGATAAGACGTAGCCATTACGCACTCCTCTGGCTTTCCTAAATTAGGTTCTAGTTACCGTACATTTGAGATTTCTTAGATAATTTTTTATGGTTTTGGGGATGTGGTAGGCAGGAAGCCGCGGTTTCATCAGGAAGAAACCGTTTGATTATAAGGTTGAGTGTCTGATTATTTACCTTTTCCATGTTTATACTATATGATCAGTTGATTTGATTGCATTTATTGTTTGATTAGTAAAGTCCTCAGTAAGGCTATGACAATTGACAAAAGAAGGGGTAGGGGTTACAGTTGTTTTAACCTCTTATAGCTTAAGCTTGGAATATGCCCCTTAAGGATGAGTCGCAAGCTAGAGGGGTTCATTTTCCTGCTTCCCTCTCCGCCTTTTTTAGGGTTGCAAAGTGTGTTTGTATTCACAGATGCACATTCACAGACTTATAACGATATCCACCTTCAAAGTGGGTAGAATCTGCTGTTTCTTATATTCGTTGAGAAAATATGATCCATCTGTGAAAGTAGCATGATAAACAAGGGAAAATAGCAATCAGGATCATTAAGACCTGATTAGAGAACAATATTAGGTGTTCTGAATTGTTGAAATCTGTTTTGTATTTTAACAAATTAACTTGTGTTCTACAATCCAACCATTCCATATGTGTTTAGGGTAGTGCTATTCACACCCCATTTTTACTTCCCACACATTCCTTGTTAATATTTGTCCTTTGATTTTCTTCAATTCATTCTGTTTGACGGCCGGAAATTGAGAAGGGTGTATGGGAGGTAAAAAGGGGTGTGTTGATAGCACCACCCTGTGTTTATAAGATAGGTTGAAAACGCTTGATTGAGTGCATTTCTTGATAAAAGGCAATAATGGACTTCCTTTTAATTGTGACTTTTAATATTGTGCCTTGTATTGGTCAATGTGATTCTGTATGTGTATTTATGTGGTTATACAAATTGGATATATCAAGGAATTAGAGTCCTGTTTTACTTGTTACAGTGTTCCAAGTACTCATGTGTTTATGATGTTTATCAGGCGCCTGCTATGAAAAATATATGTAAGAGCAGTAATGCGAGAAGAGGCTAGGCAACAGGCTAAGGAACAGGCAGGGGCTTCGGGTGCAAGCGCATAATCAAGTGTGTGCGGGGGCGGGGTTTGATTTCTCCTGGCAACCATGTGGAATGCGTCTATATGCTGAATAAGTAGAAAACAGATTATCCTTAGCTGCTTTCGAAGTATCTGTTTGTTTATCTCTATTAGGTTTTGTTTCTTAATAAGATTGTCAATTCTATAAAAATCGTAGAACAAGTTGAATGCAGTTGAACACTCCTTGTGATTTTGTAATGAATGTTTTGCTTAATTTTAAACCATAATATCCTTCCTAAGCTGGAAATGCAGAAGAAAACGTTGCAAAACCTTCACCGTTTTCATGTTTGCAACGGGCCGTTCATTTTTTATCCAACAGCTATAATTATTATAATTTTTAGAGGGGTCCCCTGTTTGTAGCCGTTGGATAAAAAATGAACGGCCCGATGGGCCTGGTCAGGAGGATCCTCTCCATCTGCTCAAGAGAGGAAGAGGATCTGGTCTGGTCCTATTTGAACAGTTACGATTAACTCACGTTAATATTTTATATTAATTTTTTTTATAGAGATTAGATGCAAACTTTTGTCTTGTGTTGACTTCTTTTGAATTAATTTCACATTAAGTTGTAAAACATTTTTGTAAACATTTCAACAAAAAGAAATCAAATTTTGATACCAAATTTTTTCTTCACAAAAAACGTAACTATAACGGCTACATTATTGAATTATGTCATGTCTATGTTATGGCTTTATTATTATATTATGTCATGCCTATGTTATGGCTTTATTATTATATTATGTCATGCCTATGTCATGATGAGTTATTTCTAATCAAGATAAGATTTCAACTCTTTACGATTATTGGATTAGATTTTCTTATTGCAATCTCATCTGTCGGATTGTTATCTATATTTTTACCCTCTCACTGTAAAAATAGATGTCTATTTCTCATCTCTTATTCCACATCCATCCTATTTTCTCATCTCTTATTTCTCTCTCTTTAGCCTGCATCAGTTCCGACTTCTGCTGCCCCTCTCAATGACAATTACAACAACGAATCAATGAATGGATTTTGTTCTTCTGAGGTAATTATGGGGGGGGGGGGGATTTTGGTAAAATTAACTAAAAGTTGATTTCTTTTTGAGGTAGATTAACTAAAAGATTTAGTTTCCCTAATTTTGAAGATCATTAGGGTTATGTAATTTTGTTTTTGTGTGTGTTCAACTTAACCTCTTTTTCGGACTAATTTGCAGATTATCAGTTTAATTTCTCATTTTTGTTCTCATTTATGCTGTTATTGGGTTACAGGTTGAAGAATGGGCGATGAGAGGTATGATTTTGTCTCCATATTTTGGTTTGATTTAAATAATAGAAGTTTAGGTTGAAAGCTAAATGCTTGTTTCGTTGGTTTGCAAGAATGTCTCTTACAAGTGCTTTAGTAATTTCTCATCCTTGTAAGTGATTATTTGCTGTTTTTCTTGATGAAGTTGAGGCTTGTTAGTCTTTGATAGGGTCCAGGCAACTCACTCTTTCACCGACTTGAGATTAGGGCCTATTAATTTAAAAGTATCGTAATCTTGCCATATATAATACTTGTGCTTAATTTGATTCTTATATTAATTTGTGTCTTTGCTTTCAACGGTATAGTCAGAATGAGTAAGAGATTCTCAATACTCTATCTTGAGATTATAACGTTCAAACAATACCTTCGATATCAGTGGGAAGCATTGTGGAGATGCAAGATTATAAAGTTTACCGAATCCAGGCATAACTTATGAAACTGCTTAGATGCTAAAGGAGGCTTGAATTTTTCAATGACCTAGTCTCTATGTCGTATCCCCTGTATGAGCTGTACTCGTTATTGGCAGGGTTACCACAAAGTAGTCCTTCATTTAACACTAGTTGGAGGGTATGATGTTGGCGAAAGGGATGGTAGAGTTGTTTAATATTTCATAGGATTGACATAACGTATCTAGCAGCTCTCAGTGTGATTAAATCTTAGTGGAATTTCTGGAACGATAGGACTTGTGGTCATTTAGCTCCAGAAGATGAAGAACCTTAAAAGAGAGTTTGGGATGACTCAAGCAGAAATGTATCTACGTGATAAGAGTATAAGAATCCCCTGTTTTGATAGATAAGCAGCTATATGTTTTTCTTAAGAAAACCGGACGCTGTGAGGTAATTAAACTCAATATTAGGAGAAATTTCTGTCTGATTCAACCTAAGACTTCTCATTCACAAATGAAGAAGAATACTACCAGACTATAGTACCGAGTCGCTCACGTATTCTTAATTTTACATGGATTTTGTTTTGAAGCTGTGGTGGGGACGGAAGGGCTTTAAGCTAACTGACGAGCTCGACGGCTAAGCGGGGCACCCACCGCACCAGGCCTTCAGCAAAGATTTAGCTCGATTAAGAGGCTCTAATTTAACTTTGGGTAGATTTATAGGCCTTCACTTTTTGCTATTAGCAAAATTTGAGGCCCAGTAATTGAGAATTGAGAACCTTTGGGGCCTATAACTAAATTCTCAGTTAGATCCAATGTATATTTGATGAGAAACAAATGTTAATTTCCAAGTAAAATGCTTATCGACCAAAGAAAAAGACGAGTAAAAAACTTGGGGCTTGTTTGGTGTCCTTCTCAGATCCAATTTTTAGTTTTGCCAATTTAGACTAGTTCTCAGAGTTAACAAAGTTAAATATTTCAAAAACTCGTTAATTATTTATATCAGTCTCTAGGGAGATCGACCTTGCTATAGAGTCATTCTATACTACTGAAACTTGTTCTCTTGCAAGAATTTTCTATGTTTTAACCCTGGATGTTTTTCTAAGTCTGTCTTATTTGTCTTATTTCCCTTCTTTTGTTCTTTGGTTGCTGTCAAATCAATGTGTTACCTATTATACGGTTATACTTGCACAAAATGCAACAGGAATCTATATATCTATTTATACCATTCAGAGCTGGGGACGGTTTGGATTGGTTTTGTTCTGGTCCAAACCACGACCCAAACTGCAAACTTTAGTTTGTTTAGTTTTAAAACATAAAAGAACCATAATGGTTTAAAACAATATGTAATAGGTTTACTAATGTTGCAATGCAATTTGGTTCGGTTTGCAGCTTAACATGCATATAGTACCAAATGAAAATTGTTGAGTTATGTTGAAATAGTGTAAGAATTTTCTTTAAACCCATCAATTTATAAAAATTCATCATCAAATTACAATTTGATAACTTTAAAATACTTAATTTCACAACTCAAATCCTCAAACTTTCAATCTCATAACTCCAAAATAATAAATTACAACAAAACATAAGCTTACTACAAAAACAAAAGTGGTCCTTACAATGAATATCTACAAAAATGGTCCTGAGTTTGTCCACCGTAAATTATTGTGGTCATTCCGCGATACATCTCCAATTGAAATATTATAAAAGTTTCCTAGTTAAACTAAAATTTGGACTGCAGAGAAAAATGCCCTTTTGAAGACAAAACCGTCAAGGCTTCCTATGACTAAGTGGTTCATCTCTGGGATCCAAGATCCAATCAATCTCTTTTATGGGTGCATCATGCATGTAAACGGTCATTGGTTGGTCACCAGGAGTGGCCTTTGGCTGGTAATACAATGATAGAGAGCACATGTATTAAATATTGTGTTAGTTTTGTGTGTCTAAATTAACATTAATATAACTTTATTCATATGTTTCAATAAGCTGTACGTGTATGATATGATTGGTTATTTTTTTTTTGGCAGGACATTGGTGCAAGTGTGATTGGGTATGTTCTTAATTATAGGACAAGTAAAGCTACAATCACCTTTGATGACCAGAAAGCAACAAACTTTTTCGAATACGAACTAGAATCCGATGAAGCTGAGAACGCCAGAGATTACAACTACTACACTTCCAAAGCATGTCATAGCAGCATCCTAAGACCCTGCTTGTTCACATGCCATGTGGAAGAAAAACATGTTTCTTTATTCTATGAAGAATTCAGCTACAAATTCGAGGATTGGAATATAGAGGAGCACATGGTATCAGAAGAAAAACAAATGTCCTGGTGGAAAAAATCCATCAAGTAAGTCTTTTTTTTTCTTCTTCTATCTCATAATTTAATTTTATCATAACTATAACTATGTGTGTGTGTATATATATATATGATTTGTATAGGAGAATCTTAAAGACGATCCTCTATATCCACAAGGAGCTTGTTCACAATGGCTTGGCATACCGATCCAGTTATGTAATTCAAGACGGTGAACTAAAACTCGTTAACATCCGAGGTAGTCTGGAGAAGTTGGAACCTCTAGAGTCTCAAAAGATGAAAATAAGTGACCTCACAAACTTTATGACCTTCCTAAGAGACAATGTGCCAGCCAATTGGACGGATATAAACTTGTTCTGAGATTATATTGTCAACGACACTAGGTAAGGATACCTAATTTATAAACGAGTTTGTGTGTTTACGTAGCATTATTAATTTTTATTCTTAATTACATAATTTGAATTTGTTTATTCTCTTTTCCTTAAGCTGGTCCAACTGTGTTGCCAAAAAACTCATTAGACATCCATTTTTTATGGATACCCCTCATGAAAGACTTAGGTACTTTAATGATGTATTCCAGGCCACAGAAAGCAACACTTGCGTCAATCATATAGCCTTCAAAAAGACATTGAACCAAGATCCTCGTTTTAAACCGTACAAGAACTGGACTACAACATACAGGGGCATACTCTCTACACTAATTTTTCTCGTGAGCTTAAGAAGGGGAAACCTGATTCAAGTCAAAACCTGTTTAGCCTCGTTGCATTTTTAAGGCATGTCTACATACATTGTGTCACAAAAAGTGCAGATTTTGGGACATCGATGAAGAGATCACTCAACTGTGTCCTGGGCTTTCAAGCCGTGTGCACGAAATCTTCTATGATGAAGGACCAAAAAAAAAAAAAAAAAATCCTTAATTAAGAGATGTAGAATTCGTCCTTCATCACGTAGATCTCGTGCACACGGCTTGAAAGCCCAGGACACAGTTGAGCGATCTCTTCATCGATATCCCCAAAATCTGCACTCTTTGTGACACAATGTATGTAGACATGCCTTAAAAATGCAATGAGGCTAAACATGTTTTGAATCTGGTTTCCCTCCTTAAGCTCATGAGAAAAATTAGTATACAGAATATGCCCCTTTTATGTTGTAGTCCAGTTCTTGTACTGTTTAAAACTAGGATCTTGATCCAATGTCTTTTTGAAGGTTGTAGGATTGACGCAAGTGTTGCTTTCTGTGGCCTGGAATACGTCGTTAAAGTACCGAAGTCTTTCATGAGGGGTATTCATCAGAAATGAATGTCTAATGAGTTTTTTGGCAACACGGTCGGACCAGCTGAAGGAAAAGAGAATAAAAATAGTTCAAATTATGTAATTAAAATTTAATAATGCTACGTAGACACACAAACTCGTTCATAAATTGGGTATCCTTACCTAGTGTCGTTGGCAATATAATCCAAGAACAAGTTTCTGTCTGTCCAATTGGCTGGCACATTTTCTCTGAGGAATGTCATAGAGTCTGTGACGTCACTCCTTTTCATCTTTTGAGACTGTAGAGGTTCCAGCTTATCCAGACTACCTCGGACGTTAACGAGTTTTTGTTTACCGTCTTGAATTACATAACTGGATTGGTATGCCAAGCCCCTTGTTGTGGATATAGAGGATCATCTTTAAGATTCTCCTATACAAATCATATATATTCACATAGTTATGGTTATGATAAAATTGAATTATGAGATAGAAGAAGAAAAAAAAAGAGACTTGATGGATTTTTCCACCAGGATATTCCTTCTTCTTCTGATGCCATGTGCTCCTCTATATTCCAGTCCTTGAATTTGTAGCTGAATTCTTCATAGAATAAAAAAACATGTTCTTCCACATGGTGTGTGAACAAGCGGGGTCTTAGGATGCTGCTATGACATGCTTTGGAAGTGTAGTAGCTGTAATCTTTGGCGTTCTCAGCTTCATCGGATTCTAGTTCGTATTGGAAGAAGCTTGGCTTTGTTGCTTTCTGGTCATCAAAAGTGATTGTAGCTTTACCTGTCCTATAATTAAGAATACCCGATCACACTTGCACCAATGTCCTGCCATAAAAAGATAACTAGTTATATCATACACTTACAACTTATTGAAACATATGAATAAAGTAATATTAATGTTAATTTAGACATCCAAAACTAACACAATATTTAATAATACATGTGCTCTCTATCATTGTATTACCACAATATTTGATACATAAAAAAACGCTTGGGTACTTTTGTCAAAAAAAAAAATATAATTTGTTTTATGATAAAAGAATAGCATATCAAAATAGGAGACGTGATGTTAAAACTGCTATGAACATGGCGTCAGTCTGTTTGTATAATTGCATTCATATTCAAGGTTTGGATTGACCCTTTTGAATCTGTTGTCATTTTTCTTTGTTAGGACTTTTTGCCATTTTGTGCTGTTATGAATTTCGGGACCTTTTTGATTCATGAGGTGATATTGTTGGAAATGTGCAGGTTGTGGGGATGAGATGGTCGTCAGTGTTTTATGCTGAAAAAATAGCAACAGTGCAGTGGCTCTCCCTGAGCAGCTTGCTTCTTTACAAGTTACGGCCGAAGATCTACACCGACGATTCTGAAGCACACATATGATTCAAACGTATAACAAATATCAAATCCAACAATGATACAACAACAAACGAAGATATTATTTCGGTTATCCGCGCTGACTGGGTTGCCATCTTGACAGCCTCGCCCAGCTTGATTCGCAGACCCGCCGAGGCAAGTCATTGAGAGACTGAAAACACATTAAACTTCTCTAACGCAATTTTACCACACCATACCCTCTCTGTCTCGACCACATCACAGACAAACTACACACACCTGCTGCTATCTCTCTCTCATTCTCTCGATCGAGCGACTCTCGAGCCCAAAATCGAGGTATTTGTTCTGAATTATTGTCGAAATATAGGGTTTTGTTTTGTATTATTTTTCGATTTAAAATTGAATTTGGATTTTTGTGATTGGATTTCTTTATTTGATTCGTTTTGAATTTCTGAGTAGGTTAGATTTCTACAATTGGATGTTGAGTTTCTGAGCATGATTTTCCGTTTCAAATATTGGATTTCTGAGCATGCATGTTGAAGTAGTACCGAAAATTTTTAGGAATCCCGAATTTCGGTAGAATTTCGGATTACCGAAATTTCAGTTCGGTTTTGGCGATCGGAATCCGATCCCCGAAAGTGATAGGTTCGGGATTCTGTTTATGCTTTTCAGTTCGGTATCCCGATTCAAACCACCCCTACCCTAAGCCCTAATCTTGACCTCAGGTTGTCAGCTCACATGTGAAAAGCTTAACCTATACTATCGAGACCTACCAAAATACAGTCGAAGTTTGAACTTACTGAAAATCTGAATCAGGATATTTAGAGTTTCCTGAGTATCCTGATTCAGATTTAAACACACCAAGAGCTGCCAGATAGATTATATCAATCCTATTATATAACAGAATATCGACCATTAAAATTTAAATAACGAGGAATGGAACGTTCAGGAAGAAACTTACGGTGTGAAGCTGAAATTAATATCAAATAGCACATAACCCTTTAGGCCTCGTTTGGCATATCGTATAGTACATCAGATAGTACTAATAATACGGAGTTCAGTGATTGGTGTCCATTTATATTAAAATAAGGGATATGATATCCACACATCTTATTTTACTTCTCATTCGTCTTTTTAATTTTCGACCGTTGGATCGGATGAATTGAAGAAGATCAATGGACATATATTATCAAGGTGTTTGAAAAGTAAAATAGGGTGGGTAGATAGCCCACCATAAATAATCTGGGCCACCTATTTTATACTGTGAATACCGCTCTCTCCTTCCTCTCTAGACGCAAAGCTGGTTTGGTATTGCTGTGCTTTGAAAAAAAAAAAAAGTTGTTTCTATTGTACTGTGAGAATAAACAGCTGTGAAATAAAGCAGCTGAGTGTTTGGTAAACTTTTTTGTAAAAGTGCTTTTGAAAAAAAAAAACAGTATTATAGAATTTGGTAAATTTTTATGTAAAACAGATGTGAAAAAAATCGAATTTTCAAAGTTCGGTTTTGCAGCTTTGTGTTTTTGACTTTTTTTCATCCAAAACTGTGAAAAAAGCTGAAGCTGAATATTTACTAAACAAAAAAAAAAGCGTTTTTTTTTATAACCACTTTTATCATAATCAACTCACCAAACTAGGCCGCACACTTGTTCTCTCCATACGCTCTCTCTACCTCTCGCGCTTGCTCTCTCATGGTTCGTCTTTTCAAATGCCTTCTTCTCAAATGCATTTTTTTAGGGATGAAGATGCTTTGGTCTATTACTGTTCATTGAGATATATTACTATCTACTTAAGTGAATAAATGTGCTGATTGTTGGCCTAAAGTCTTTAGGGTGGAATTGCTCTAAAGGACAGGCCAATCCACAATACCCAGTAGACCATAATGACCCAGTTGTATTGAAAGCCTTCAATTCCTCAGCCGTAAGACCCAACTACTCACACCGCATGAGCAGAGGGAAAAGATATGGAGAAATCAATGATGATGGTCGAAGAGGACAGAGTCAATTAATGAACAAGGGAGGAAAGGTGTAAGATACGCAGGCTCTTAATAAACCCAACTACCCAGACTAGGGTTAGTTGAAATCGAATTCACGGACAATTGAAAATCTGGGGAAAGGTAGGAAATGGTTGAAAACTGGAAGGGGATGCGCAATATTAGATCTGGTATGGTTCAGATGAGGGCGGTGTTATCTAGTTGCAGGCTCTCACAGAGGAGGGAAGACTCTCACAACGAAGAGAAAAAAAAAAAAACTTGGTTGCATCTTTAACCCTTCCTCGTTTGGCATCGGATGATACTAATCATACGAAATATAGTATTTGATGTCCGTTTATATTAAATAGTCACCGGACTAAATAATCCTGCTCCACTTATTTTGTACTGCTGAATAACCGCTTCCTTATATACTCTCTAAAACCAACGGACAATTTAGTCGCTCTCTCCTTCCTCTCCAGACGCACACTCGTCTTCTCCAGACGCTCTCTCTGCCTCTCGCGCGCTTGCACTCTCATGGTTCGTCTTCTCAAATGCCTTCTTCCTCTTCGTTTTCCATCCTATTCAGTTCATCTTCTCATTTTTCTTCTTCTTCCCAGGTTCCGCCCCTCCCTCTGTTCTTCCCCTCCTTCTATTTTTCTTGCAATTTTCTTTGAATTGATTGAATCTAGTTATTGTTTTCTCTCTAATTATGCAATTGATTATTTAATTTTGGGTTTTAATTAGAATTTTCGAATTTTAGGGTTTGCTGTTGGGTCGAATTTTAGGGTTTGCTGTTGGGTCGAATTTTAGATTTGTTGTTGGGTTTTTCAGGTTGTGTTTTGTGTGATTGTGTGTGTTTGTAGGTGTTGTCATGGCATCTAAACGCATCTTGAAGGAGCTCAAGGATTTGCAGAAGGACCCCCCCCTACCTCATGCAGTGCTGGTATTTGCTCCTTTTCCTTGAACAAATCCCTTGTCTTTTTATTAAATTTGGATCCCATATTTATAATTGTCTTAGAATTGTAGATGGTAGTTCTAATTGCAGCTAATTAGCGGGGTTTTTTCGATGATTTCAACTGTTTCCAGCTCAGATTTTTAGCCAAAAATTGGCCCCTTTTCATCAATTGAACAGAAAAGAAAAGAAAAAAAGAACTGAAATTTTAACCCTTTGCTTTATCGATTAGGAAATAAAGATGTAGCAAATTTGTGGATGGTCCATTTGGGAGCGAAACAATCCTCCTTTAATGGTTTAACTGATGTAAAAAAAGTGATGGTTGGATATTCTCACATTGTAGCTGGTCTTGTCTAGGTCTTGTATGCTGGCTCATGCATCTTATGTTTCTCGGGTGTACGCATATTTTGATCACTTTACTGAACTTGGCATACATTCTTCTTGTGGGTTTCTCTTTCATGCATTATAGGTCCTGTGGCCGAGGACATGTTCCGTTGGCAGGCGACAATTATGGGACCTGGTGATAGCCCATACACAGGTGATGTTTTTCTAGTTTCAATTCATTTCCCTCCAGATTATCCATTAACCGGATCCTCATGTTTCTGTATGTTGTTGTGGTCATGTTCCTCCATACAGTATCATTATTGAAACATGAGCTTTTGTGAGTCATATAATGGGTGAAATGGATTCCTGCACTTAGTCTTTAGTTACCTATTCATACATGCTGGTGATAAATATTTTGGGTACTTGGAAAACAACAACGATATATTTTGTTAAAAGCAGCATGCATATCTTTTGTTAAAAGCTGCAGCATGTATATATTTTGGGTACTTGGACAAATTGCTTTGTACTGAAAGCAAAGCAGCAGCATGCATATATTTTGGCCATATGGACAAACTGTTTCGTACTGAAACCAACTTGCATTTGTATATTTTGTGAACTTGGATATGTGGTTGGATTAATCTATATAACGTAACGACTGTAGTTGTCTTTTGTAAACCTTCTTTTATGTTATTGGAAAATATTTTGAATTTGATGTATGGAATTTACTATTTTTCTTTGTTATTTGAAAATTTGTGTGGTTTTGAATAGGTATAGATATGAGAAAAGTTCAACAAATAAAGAAAGATTTGTCAATTTTTTTTTTCTTCCCTTTCCTTATCCGGTTCAGTACCAAACACAGTATAAATAATACGGTCATTAGTCTGATATTGCACTAAATGCCCGACTAATTTAGTCAGTACATTCCGGTAGATATTTATCCTATTCGACATAAATAATCAGTACAGTCCGAGCTACCAAACGAGATCTTAAAATCCTCCTTAACCCTATTATTAAATGCTGGAAAGAAGACTGGTTTCTCTAAAAAATAGATAATACGGCCATCATCCTCTAAATTAAGTAATTTGATTAATTAATTGATTAGCGAACATTTTATAAATTGCCACTAAGTACTACGGTCTGGTGGAATTCCTCTTCGTTTAAAAATGAGAAGCCTTAGATTCGAATCTCATATATGGTGAATTCGATACCAAATTAGGTTGTCCATTGTGTGGTTTAATTGAGTTTGAACTCTATTCGGACCCCAAGTAGCAAATTGGATCGCAAATTCTTGAGTTGCATTTTCACTTTTATTTAGATTAATACTAACTTGAATATAGACATTTGAGGAATGAATGAAATCAAGTTTTATGCTACAAATTCTTAGAGTTGCATTTTAACTTTTATTTAGATTAATACAAAATTATTTCGGACCCAGCTTTTTACTTTTCTGCCCTAGTTTCTTCCTTGTTTCAGACCCTAACTTTTTACTCGTACCCTAATTTTTTTCTTATTTCGGACCCTAATTTCTGTTACTTGGTCAAAGCCTAGGGCTACAAAGTACGTTGGTATGCAAGAAGATGCAACACTAAGGTTGAGACTATCTCGTGCCTTATAAATATTGAGCTTGGGCACTTAGCCCTGCTTATACTTTAGTTTTATCTGCTCTAAAATTTTGCTTTTCGATTGTCTCTAACCATGGAGGCAAAAGTTGGTCCGTCAGAGTCGAATGGTGGCTCATCGGGATTCTATTGTAAGATTCTTTAATTCTTTTAAATTTTACGCATTTTGAGTCTTACGGCTGCTCTAATTTGTCTTTTCTATGTGTTCCTGTTCATACTTGTGCATGGCATTGTGCCTGCTGCCATCAATTTGCGTATTAAATTGTTAACGCCATTAAATATTATTTTCTGGCAAAAGTAATTTGATTATCTGTGATTAATCGGCATTGTTTCTACTCTTAACTCTGCATAATCTTCTTATTTTTGTGTAGTTAAATTTGTAGGCTACACTAAAACAACAAATTAACTATAGGGGGAACTTTTCAGGGTTCCCTCTGTCACATCCCAATCTCGACTCTGCTGTAGCACAATATTGTCTGTTTTGGGCATCGGCCACGCCCTCACGGTTTTGTTTTTGGGAACTCATACGAGAACTTCCCAGGTGGTCACCCATCCTGGGATTACTCTTGCCTGAACTCGCTTAACTTCAGAGTTCCGATGGAACCCAAAACCAGTGAGTTCCCAAAAGGCCTAGTGCTATAAGAGGTGGGCATGTACATATAAGGCACATTACCCCCTCTTTGTTAGTCGATGTGGGATTTTACACCCTCAATGGCGCGCAATTCTTTCCTCATATATCAGCATTGGTTGTCGTCATGCTGGCAAAATTTATCCACATGACGCTAGCGTTCCCGTTGGGATTTGTATGTGTGGCTCTGGCCATTGCTACCGATTGATCACAGTCACAGACGATGGAAAGAGAAGAGAACATGTCAACACTGATAGACAATTCGACATCGGAAATAAAGGAACGGCAGCCAGAAAATAACACGGGCAGTAAGAAGAAGAAATGCATAACGGGGAGAGAAATATCTAAACTGGAGAAAATAAAGGAGGCCTATCGAACAAACATGGATCCGGATAAGGTAGATATATTACTAGATACACAAAAATAACACCCTTTCTAACAAGTGTAGTGCACTTTGGTTTAAAAGGCGTGTCCATAAATTTGTCAGTTTTTTGTGCTGCTATAAAACTTTACATAAAATTATATGACATTTGTATAAATGTGCAATATTATTTGAAGGTCTTCGGTGCAAACGTGGTCGCATATGTGAATAACAATACGAACGGTATATTCAAAATCACATTTGAAGACCATAGAAAAATGACAACGAGGTATATTGAAGAAGTAGTAGTCTTTCTATGGTCTTCAAATGTAATTTTGGATACACCGTTTGTATTGTCATTCACATATGTGACCACGCTTGCACCGAAGACCTACAAATAGTATTGCACATTTATACAAGTGTTATATAATTCTATTTAAAATTTTATAGCAACACAAAAAACTGACAAATTTATGGACACACCTTTTAAACCAATGTGCACTACGCTTATTAGAAAATATGTCATTTTTGTGTATCTAGTAATATATCTACCTTATCTGGATCCGTGTTTGTTCGATAGGCCTCATTTATTTTCTCCAGTTTAGATATTTCTCTCCCAACTCCGCCTATGTCTTACATGGCCGGTCCCAAGCCCGGATAAAGGAGGAGGGGGAGGGCGTCAGGTAGTCGACAGCCGGCACTCCATGATCACGTCGAATCCTTATGAAAATGAATCCAGAACAAAATCGCGCTAAAGCTAGGGCGTCACCCGTAAGTGGCGCGCTGTGTGGCCCGAGCACAGTGATAAGTGAGCAAGGGTCGCTGTATCTCCATCGGCACCCGGATGCAGTGTTAAATGAGCAAGGGGGCCATAGAAACTTCTTTTCGAACGACTCCACTCAAAGTTGTTTGGGAGCATATGCTCCTATCAACTTTACCCGGGACACACAAAAGAAGTACTTTGATCCTATTAGACGGGGGAGGGTGAAGAATCTAGGACAGAAGGGTAGAGTTCAAGAGAGCAAAATGCGTTTAGGAACGTGGAATATAGGAACCTTAACGGGAAAATCTATGGAAGTAGTGGAAGTTATGGTGAGGAGAAGGATAAATATTATGTGCCTACAAGAAACTAAGTGGGTTGGTAGTAAGGCAAAGGATCTAGAAAACTCAGGGTTTAAACTTTGGTATTCGGGCACAAATAGAACGAGAAACGGTGTTGGCATCATCGTGGACAAGACCTTGGTACAAGATGTTGTAGATATCAAGAGGGTAGGAGATAGAATCATGGCAATCAAGATTGTAATAGGACAAGAACTTATCAATGTGATTAGTGCGTACGCACCTCAAGTAGGGTTGGATACGAGTTCGAAGGAGAAATTTTGGGAAGATCTTGGAGACTTGGTGCAAGGAATTGCTCAGACGGAGAAGTTATTTATAGGAGGAGATTTAAATGGACACGTGGGCAGGGAGACAGGCAACTATGGAGGTTTTCATGGTGGCCATGGTTTTGGGAGAGAAACGAGGATGGGGAAGCTATCTTGGATTTTGCAATGGCATATGATCTCTTCTTAGCCAACACCTTCTTTAAGAAGAGAGAAGAACATGTGATCACCTACAAGAGTGGGTCGTCAAAAACACAAATAGATTTTCTTCTAATGAGGAAAGGGGATCGTATAACTTGTAAGGATTGCAAAGTTATACCAGGAGAGAGCGTGGCTAATCAACATCGCTTGTTGGTGATGGATGTACATATCAAAATAGTAAGACAAAAGAACAAGACTTGGAAGTGCCCAAGAACTAGATGGTGGAATCTAAAAGAAGAAAAACAAGCCATTTTCAAAGAGAAGGTAATCACCCAATGTGTGTGGGATAGAGAGGGGGAAGCTAGCCAAATGTGGGATTCCATGGCTAGTTGTATCCGAAAAGTAGCAAAAGAGGTATTAGGAGAGTCCAAGGGCTTTGCCCCACACCAAAAGGAATCTTGGTGGTGGAATGAGGAGGTACAAACAAAGGTGAAGGCTAAGAAGGAATGTTGTAAAGCCTTATACAAGGAGAGGACCGATGAAAATGGTGAAAGGTATAGAAAAGCGAAGCAAGAGGCGAAGAAAGCTGTCAGAGAAGCTAAGTTAGCGGCTTACGACGATATGTATAAACGACTAGATACCAAAGAAGGAGAGTTGGATATCTATAAACTAGCTAGAGCAAGGGAAAAGAAGACAAGGGACCTAAACCAAGTAAGGTGCATCAAGGATGAGGATGGAAAGGTTCTTGCTACAGAGAACGCGGTTAAAGACAGATGGAGAGGTTATTTTCATAATCTTTTCAATGAAGGACATGAAAGGAGTGCTTCTTTAGGGGAGTTGAGTAACTCAGAAGAGTAGAAACTACTCCTTTTATCGTCGAATCCGGAAGGAAGAAGTGGTTGTAGCTTTGAAGAAGATGAAGCATAGAAAAGCAATAGGCCCAGACGATATACCAATCGAAGTGTGGAAAGTTTTGGGAGAGACAGGTATAACATGGCTCACTGACCTTTTCAATAGGATTTTGAAAACGAAGAAGATGCCAAATGAGTGGCGAACGAGCACTTTGGTGCCTATCTACAAGAA